TACCGGCTGGCATGTCTGGTACCTTGTTTATGTAGACTAGCCTCGAGAGACTAGCCTACTGATTGTCAACACTGTATGCATATATACATGGACACAACACTAGCTGTACTATACTGTATCATCAGTGTACTAGTATACATTGTCATGATTGACAATGAATGCCATGTTTGAAATATTGAAATCTTGAAAATCTACCGTAGTTGTAGGATGTAGCCACGAAACGAAGATGTAACTCGTCACCAACAGAATCTGTCTCTTCTTTGTTTTATTATGCCACCACAAACGTGTGGGAGACACAGACGACAACGATGACGATAACAATTATGATAGTGCGACGACAGCGCATGCGTGCGCGCATTTGACTACGGCCACGACAACTGTGATGATAATGACAGTGCCGACGATAACGATAGCGTGCCGCCGATACCGAACTGTGTGCCAATAGTGTGCGATTCACTGAAACAATACACCAAAAAAGGACTTTACTAAATTACTCCTAGTACAATTCTATCCCAACAATTATATCCTGAACGAAGTTCTAAACTGCAGAAACGCGTACCTTATTAACTGAACTGCCCCTCAAGCTCCTAAACAGCATAAACATCACGGAAATATAACTGCGAACATCGAGAATTTCCTCTCAACCCGCAACCGAAATTGAAATTGAAACTAAAACCAAAACAAGGACGACTATATAGCTACCAATGCGGTATGATTCACATTCAGCTAAATCCAACAATTATACGATTTTCAGTGTCTTTAAGATTATGAACAACAACTAGTAACTCACCGAAGATTTGTGACACCTTTACATCCCTTTACATCACTACAGAATCCACATACATATATAGAAAAGGCTGGCTACACGAACAACTAACGAAATGCAACCTTGCGTGTGCCGCCGTATTCCACACTCTCCCGTGACTCACGCGTATAGGCTTAACCTGCCGCGCCCTCTATCATTTCCAACTAAGCCAAACTCCGGCAGCTACATTCCGGCCCCTTAATTGTAAAACAATTACATAACACAGTGCCATGACTCACCGCGGTAATGTGTCATGCAAACCATAACCGAAAGTTACACAATGCTCAACATGAAAGTACCTAACGTTCAATAACGACCATTAACCGATTCTGTAATGGACAGCCCTCTTAACTCCGCCATTATACTAGCCGGTTCTACTCTTTGCCCCGCTCAGACTCCAATAGCAAACACAGTTTCGCGATTGGCCTATCTAACACGGAATGCCGAGTCTTAACGGAACAGGATCTCACAAAACCCTTTGTAACCGCTTTAACGTCCACAATTCTACCAAGAAGCCAGCTATTTCTCGGCAGAGATTCGTCCACCACGAGTACAATATCGTCCCGCATTAAGTTCTTTTGAGGGTCATGCCATTTCTGCCTGGCCTGCAATAGGGGCAAGTACTCTTTGCGCCACCTTGTCCAGAATAAGTCCGCTAAATACTGGACTTGTCGCCAACGTCTTCTGACATAAACATCCTTCCTATCGAAGACACCGGGCGGCATTGATGTCTTCTCCCTCATGGTCAACAGCATCCGTGGAGATAACGGCTGCAGATCGTCCAGATCAGAGGACAGCGTAGATATTGGCCGTGGGCGCTGAGAAGGAGCTAAGAAATGCTGTCAAGACTTGGAACCAGAGTCAAATCCCCGAGTGGCTGCGGCAGAAAGGGATAAGCTGGGAGTTTAACCCCCCTGCAGCCTCCCACTTCGGTGGTGTCTGGGAAAGGCTCATAAGGACTGTTCGCCAAGTTATGAAAGGCGTGTTAAGAGAGCAACATCTTAGACTGGACGATGAAGGCCTCAGTACCTTGTTCTGCGAGGTAGAGAACATCGTGAATGGCCAGGAAGTTTGCCGTCAGGGTCTGGAATGGGACGAGCCAATTGAGGGTGTTTCGCTGCAGCGATGGGAAGTGTGGCTGCAGGAACTGGTGAGACTCAAAGAATGGAACGTGCCCAGATGCTACAAGTCGGACCTGTCCTCAGTGGTGATAAGTCGGCAGCTTCACGTCTTTGCAGATGCAAGCGAAGAGGGCTATGGAATGTGTGCCTACCTCCGACAAGAAGATAGTGATGGCAGGGTTCAGGTGTCTCTTGTGCTGGCGAGGGGTAGGGTAGCTCCTCTTAAGTATGTCTCCATTCCAAGGCTAGAGTTAACTGCAGCTGTGATGGGTGCTCGCCTTGCAAATACTGTTCTGACTGAGTTGGGCGTGAAGGAAGTTCATTATTGGACTGATAGCCAGACCGTACTGAGGTACCTACAGAATGATTCAATGAGATTCAAAACGTTTGTGGCCAACAGGGTTGCAGTAATTCGTGATCTGACTGAACCCAACCAGTGGAGATACGTCAGGACGTGTAATAATCCTGCCGATGAAGCTTCCAGAGGACAAAGAATTGATGAGTTCCTGGGGAATGAGAGGTGGGTCAATGGTCCAGACTTCCTTAGGCAATCCAGTAAACAGTGGCCAGACTTACAGGGGATTGTGCCTGATGTTGCAGAAGGCGACCTAGAAGTCAAGGTGTCTAATGTGGTAACAGTAGAGGGACGATGTTGTTTTTTGGATGGCTTACTCACGAGGTACTCAAGTTATCCAAGGTTGAAGAGAGTAGTGGCCATGGTACTGATGGTTGCCGAGAAATTCAAGAGAGGCGCTGACTCCAGGCCAAGTTGCAATCGCCCAACCCTGGATCACTCGAAGGCTGCAGAAAGGCTGATATTGGCTCACGAACAGCGGAGATTCTTCGCAGCAGAATTAAAGGCTCTGAAAGGTGGCAATGTTGACGAAGTCAGGAGAGCGTTAAGACGTAGCCCGCTGCGAAACCTAGATCCCATTCTGATTGGTGATCTTATATCAGTAAGTGGTAGGCTGAGGAGAGCAACCCTCCCAGAAGAAATGAAACACCAGGTGATTATCCCAAAAGATTCGGGAATTGCACAACTGGTTGTTATGGAGGCTCATGCCCAGGTTGGGCATATGGGCAGGGCGGCTATGCTAGCAAACCTATGGCAGAGGTACTGGCTGATTGGAGCAAGTGCGGTGATCAAGAGTGTGGTTGGTCGATGTGTTACTTGTAAGAAGAATCGTGCTGGCCCATCAACACAGCAGATGGCATCGTTGCCTGCTGAGCGGGTGATGAGTGACAAGCCACCCTTTGAGAATACGGGCCTTGATATGTTTGGTCCCTTCGAGGTTAAGCAGGGAAGGAGCATGGTGAAGAGATATGGTCTCCTGTTCACTTGTTTGGCCACGAGAGCGATTCATCTGGAGATCGTGCATACCGCAAATGCCGATTCCTGTCTAAATGCCATACGCAGGTTCATCTCCAGGAGGGGTGAAATATCATCGCTGAGGACAGATAATGGCACGAACTTTGAAGCAGGATCTTTGCTGGAAGAACGAAGGGGGCTACCAAACCCAGTGGGTCAAACACAGAGCTTACGATAGATAGCAGCCCTCTCCTCGTTAAGCTTCTTTCGGCAGGCGCTATATTAAAGCTGAGCGTGTCTGACTGAGGTGACCATTGCACACCAAGTGCTCTCGCTACCGGCAGATCATCCATGTTCAAGTCCAATGATTTTAGCTCAGGCGCTCTTTCCTGTTCGGGGATGGCACCTAGCACCTCTTTATCATTACTCATCCACTTGGTCAGATGGAAGCCTCCATCCAGACAAAGGTTAGTCAGGTCATTCACCAAGACGAATGCTCGCTCCTGACTATTCACAGAGGAGAGGCAGTCATCCACATAGAAGTTCTTGTTCATCACATTTCTGGCTTCTACCCCATACTTGTCACCATGATCGGCCAGTGTCTTCTTCAGAGCCATGTTGGCACAAGCCGGAGACGAAGTGGCACCAAACAAATGCCGGGTCATCCTATACGTTAGGACAGCTTGTCCCTCCGCGGGCCGCCAGTAGAATCGAAGGCAGTCTCTGTCCTGTTCAGCAACCACCACCTGCAGAAACATACCCTCGATATCTGCAGTGACCGCAATCTTCTCCTGTCTGAACTTCATCAGTACACCTATCAGGGTATTCGTCACATCCGGCCCCTGGAAACCTTTCCCAGCTTTGAAGTGTTTGCTGTGTTTATGAGAGAAAGGGCCCGAGAAGCAAACATCCCGATGTTTAACGTGGTACAATCACCTAACTCAAGCCATGGTCAGCAAGGAACAGCCCAAGGTTGGAAAGCACCAAAGAGGTCGTATGCAACCCTTGCAGGCCCAAAGGAGGCGTGTGAGCTGTGCAAGGGGCCCCATGAGTCGGTGAATTGTCGGAAGTTTGCAATGATGACAAATGATGAGAAGATCGATCTGTTGAAACAGTGGAAGTTGTGTTTCGGCTGTTTGAAATCTGGTCATAGATCCAGGTATTGCGGTCATCGCATGCAATGTGACAAGTGCAAGGGCAGGCACCCTACTGTGCTTCATATAGAGAATAGGAATCCTAGGCAAGAGGTGAGGGAGGAGAGGCCTGTTCTAGAGGTTACTTCTGCCTGCAACATGGATCAAGATGGCTTGTGCACTATGGCTATCATCCCGGTCGTAGTAAAATCTCTGAAGAGTAATAGAACAGTCCAGACATATGCCTTCCTTGATCCAGGTTCAAGTATATCCTTCTGCACTGAGAGGTTGAGAAGTCGACTGGGTCTTGGCGGTCGCAAGGCGCGGATAACCATTGATACTATGGGTGATACACATGCTCTCCAGACATACATAATCTCTAACATAGCAGTGAGCAGTCTGGAAGGCGGTAGGGATATTCAGCTTCCGAATGTGTATACGAAGAATTCCCTACCGGTGACGAGGGACCACATCCCGACTCAGAGCGATGTAGATACGTGGGATCACTTGAGAGGCCGCGTAGTGGTGCCAGAGCTCGAAGAGGAAATTGGTCTGATGTTGGGTAATGCCGTTGCCGAGGCTTACACTCCGTTGGAGGTGGTCACAGGGCCCCCTGGTTCGCCCTACGCGGCAAGAACGGTGTTAGGATGGATACCATGGAACATCATCCGCCACGGAGCAACGCAGAGAGTGGCAACAATAAATAGGGTGGAACTTCGAGCCATTGAAGACCATGAGCAGTTGACGAGGATGGTAATAGAAGCAGCGAAGATTGATTTCCCAGAAGTCGGATCTGAGGAGAAGTCGAGCATGTCTGTAGAAGATAGACGGTTTGTCAAGTTAGTTGATGAGAATATGAAGTTTGATAATGGACATTATGTCCTTCCAATACCCTGGCGAGATGGGAATGTGACACTACCAGACAACAGACGATTAGCACAGAGAAGGTATGAGTTGTTGGAGAAGAGGTTAAATGCTGACCCTGGGCTCAAGGCTAAGTACACGGGGTTTATGGAGGAGATGATGCGGAAAGGATATATGGAGGAAGTGGAAGAGGAAGCGCCTGTTGGCAGAAGGGTTTGGTATCTGCCCCATCATCCAGTGTACAGTGTCAAGAAACCAGGCAAATTAATGGTTGTCTATGACTGTGCCGCAAAGTGGGCTGGAGTGTCCCTGAATGACATGCTGTTACACATCGAGGTAAGTTTGTACGACACCTCTCCATCTGTTTTCAACATAACTCGGTACCTTAGCCACCAGCTTGTAGTTCTCCTAAGGGTAATCTAGCACTCCGAGATCTGGGATCTTCTTCTTCCCCGCGCTTACCTCATTCAGAAAGTCTGAAAACGCTCTAAGACCATGCGCATCTCTAGGATTGACCCTCGGCCAACTTTGCAGCTTCGTCAAGAATGCTCTAGCTACAACGGAGTTGTTACCGTAACGATCCTTGAGCTCCTTACGGGCAAGGTAATAGGCATTATCATCTTGAAGCAAAATGTAATTACTAATCATTGCACGAGGCTCACCACCCAGATGTTGGCTAAGCAAATTCAGCTTTTCATTACCAGATACAGCTCTGTTTTCTATCAGACTTGTTAAGGCTGATTCCCATGTAGGATATCT